GAGTTCAAATTAACTTTCAACTAAAATATATTGGCAGATAAAAATGTTTATTTTTTTTTTGACGCATTAACTAAGTATGCCAAGATGTACCTGATAGATTAACTTCGTTAGCAGAAGAAAACATTCATTGATCATTCTAATTTGATGATTTTTTGGGCGTCTATATTACAATCCAATGATCACTTGTACCAGGCGAACATAAAAAGTAAGAGGCTAATGCATCTTACTTTCCTTTGTATAGGTAACGCCCCCATTCAAAGCTCAAGGTTGTATAAGTCAACCTTCTCGGATTTATGATTTCCTAGTACCAGTATTACAATCTGGGTCAGTTTTGAGGTTAGGTTAAGGTCAACTGGAGGTTAGTTTTTGGAAGATGACATCTCTGTTGATACGTTCTAAGTATAAAAAAACTGATAATGATATTGGATATCAATGGTAACACCAAAGACTTTTATTTATAAATAACTTTATTTAATCTATCAGAAACATTATTACGAACCGGTGAAAATGCCCCCCAGTGTTGCAATCATATAGATAAACTGCATTTAAAATGAAAGTTCGATTGTATTGGGGTCACTGGGCTGAAACGTGAACAATGGCGCTCGTTTTAAAATCTGCCCAATGCGTTATTCATTCGGTGCAATTTATTTACAAAAATGTCGGATACTGTTTTTACATGTGCATAGTTTGTTGAAATACTTTTTATCTGCCAGAGCACAATACATTTTTGAAATTCGGAACGCCGCATCAAAAACATTGGTTTGTTTTTTTTAAATTGCATAAATTTGCGTTTTAACGATTTATTATCTGTTATCTTTTAATTATTTAAAACCTTTGTTTCGATATTTATTGAAATGCGAGTTGTTTAAATATAAAAGCGCTCGCAATCAAGCTTTTCATATAACGAGAAATATATAAAAGTAATAAAAATTGTAAGTTTCAGAATATACATATTCGTTTTCATACATTTTAGTCATAAGTAATTCAGGACATTGTTTAAATAGAAAGTGCCTGGTTCTAGATTATAAGTTTCTATAAATACACTTTGATCTCTGTAACTCTTAAAAGTATTTAATTTATCGAAGTTACAAGATATTTTTAGCCCAGTAATTACCGGTATGTTCTTTATATATGGAGAATTTATTACATTTACTGCAGAGATAACAGTAAGAGTTTAACGCTATAATATTTTAGTATAGAAAGTCTTATTAATTTTTATTGGAACATTTTCGCATAAGCGTTCAAAGTATCATATAAATTTTATCACACGTATTATAAACATTTAATTTACACGGAAACGCGTAAATGGTGTTAAAATTATCTTCAATGTTTTTGTTTTATTTGAAGCAATTTCGTATAAATGTTGCCAATGTAAACAGAAAGCGGTCATGCAAAAACAGGACAACGGCGACGTTAAACGAAATTGCACATAAAATGTGTGCCAAAACTTACAAAGTAGTGCTTAAACGGTATAGTATAAAGAGGAAAACATAATCTTAATTTTCACACGGCCTCTTCGCGACCTCTGCTACCCTGGTCCACCGACATACATTTTCGAAACGTCATTATTTTACACTCAATGCTCTCCACATGACTAACCTCTAGCTGACATTAGACACAGAAATCTATTATTTGAGATTTTGCGGCTTCCTTTTTCTTATATTTTATGACAATGCCATACTTAATGCCGATGATATTAGACAGTTTTTGTAAAGATTTTATAGAATTTCGTAAAAGTACAGTTATATAGTCATTAAGGTCTTGAAATTCTTTTGTATATCATACTTGAGTTATTGTATTTTACGAGCTCTTAACGCCTATGCGTTTATGTCCCAGACGGTGTTTCAAGTCGTATTTGAATGATGAATTTTATGTGCTAACTGTTAATTTTAATGCTTGTCAAAACGTAAAGATGGTGTTAGATTATGTGTTACATAAATTAATTTTATGTAACATAACAGTATAATAGTATTTGTGTTCGAGAAGTTATTTTGAAAATTATTAAATTTTATGATATAACCAGACGGGTGTAGTCAAAGATCTTTTGAGGAGGTAGATTTTTAAAGTTCCTTAGAGGTTTGAAGGGTCAGTGATAAGGCTGTAAAAGTCTAAGAAGCTATGAATATTCAATTTACAGAGCACTTTTCCTAGATTTTAAGTTTCGATCTCATGAATTCTTCATATATTAGCGTGACTTGGAACTTTTACAGAAGATTCAGTTTTTTAATGAACATATTTTTTTGAGTTTGAATTTACACAGTGAAAATATTATAAGTAAAAATAAAGAAGAGAAATCATAACTAAACAATGATTCTGCGGTTTATGGCCTTTTCTTAGAACATGTTATGTTCTCGTATTTCATTTCTGGAGGAGCGCCGAGAAAGATAATATTTCATAAAATAAATTTTTTCTTATATTTTTGCCTTGTCTTCAATCTCTATTTTTTTGGAATTTAAATAAAAAAATATCAATATTATTTTTAAATGCCATAATGTTATTTTTACATGATTTTATTTACTTTTTAATATGAGTCTAATTAACGCACTAACTGTACAACAATAATCATAACTTGTTTACATTTCATAAAAGAAAAAAAGAGTGTATTTCTACAAATACAGTGCAATAATAAAAATGAATGTCTAAAAAAATATTTATTACCAAAAAATACCAGTTGTAAAACAAATAACTCGTCGGCGTTGGTTCGTCAGAAGCAGCTTCCATTTCAGAGGAAGAAAATTATGATAATAACAGAGGTGATTTAAAAATATATGCAATTATTGTCCTTATGATATTATGATAAAGGATATAATGGCATAAAAGTTTCTCGTAAATTTCACTCGACAGCTATTTAAAAAGACGGCCGCAAATTGCTGCCTGACTGTATACTCATATATGATTCCATTGGAATTATTTTTGGGAATTTTGTTGTTATTTACGTAAAAAAACTTAATTCCAAACATAGCTTTGTTTGTTGTATTGGGTTTTAAGTAATTTTTCTTACTTCAATATCAATATTTCTTATAAATAACTCATCTGTTGTTAACTTATTTTTTCGTAAAGTGTGAAAACTATTTTGGTTTCAATATAAGTGTCAAATATCAGTAATAATTTCCTTACTATAGTTCTCCTTTAGTCTTGACGATTGTCTTGGATTCTTCCTATAGTTATTTAAGTATTTACCGTTACTCAATTTTCGAGTTGACGAGTCTCTGTTAATCTGTCAACACTGTTGCGGAGTGTATATATATACTCTAGACAGGCTTCCCTTTGCTTAATTTCATATTGTGTAGAAAAATATTCAGGTCATTATTACAAATTATTATGAAGCAGTCATGGTTATTGTTTGTTGGACTCATAAAATAATATTTTGCTATTCTTATAAATCAGGCTTCCAAATTTTGGTTAAATCTCTTTTCATCAAGATTTATTAATACTCATTTAATTTTTTTTTATTTTTATTAGTCAAGTCATAAAAAATATTGTCAAAAACTTTTTTTAATAATAATTTGTTGTGATATTATTTTATTAGAATTTAAATATATAGTACTTACGTCAAAAACTCTTTAACATATTAATACTAAAGAAGTCTCGAACAATATTTGATTATTAGTGATTATTCCTGTTTTTGTTTTATATTTATTTTTAGTCTCATTTATTTGGCATATATAAACAAAATAGATTTCACACCAAATTCTTTAACATATGTATGTACGAGATAATTTTTTTTTATAAGTAAAAGCTATTCCATACATTTAACTATTAATCTGTGATACGAGTGTAAAGAAGCAGTTTAAATTCTTACATCTTTTATGTAGGTCGGTGAAAACAATGCGGTCTTTAGTCTTGTCAGTGAAGCGTCAAATGGGATCATGTTTTTTTAAATCTACTTTTATATCTAAATCCGAGTTTATTTTGAGTTAGGCTTAGAATTAATTCAGAATAGTGCGCTTATAAACACACATTTTCTGTCACCTATTAAATATCGCCACAAATTTTCTTTAATTATTAAAATATACAACCAAATTTAGCGATTCACCTGTCTGGTATAAATTTACAAGGTTTTGGGTAAGATGTAGTGGAACTGATTGGTATAATTTTGTACATTAACCAATTCGTTCTTCCAAAAGATTATCAAAAAATGTCTATAAAGTGTGATTATAGTTGCAACGTCTTGAAAATATAGAAGAAAATGACGTCATTTATTTATTTATAATAAGTACACTAACAACATACATATTAAAAATTTTCAGTTAAGGAAGGTGACTATATTACAATAACAGATATGTACGTCAATAATAAAGTGTACATAACATTTACCAAATACAATCAAAAAAGTCATTCATGCAAATCTCGTATTGAATGTGGGAAAAACTAAGTTTGGCCATTTTAATATGTAATACACGATACTTAACTGTAGCGAAATTTTTTCGCTGGTGAAAGTAAATTAGTTTGCATAATATTTTATTCTACTTAAAGTTGCAATAAGTTATAACATTGGTCCCATATTATTTCTACTTGTAATCAAAGTTACAATAACTAATTTTATACATTGGTTCCCTATTATTTGCATTCCATATATAATGTTATTTTAGAATATCCTAATTTACGGTACCGCAATATTGAGGAAACGTGAAATAAATAAATATTATTGTTATATGTATGTAAAATATTTTACTACTTTGTGTATTATTTATTACTTTGTACGGTGATCGTTCACACTTACTGAGTAAATGGATCTTGTGATACAAAAGATATTCCATCTCATAAATTAGGAAAATTTTATTTAAACATGAGTTTCATTGTATTGTGATCATTAAAGATGACCAGTCAATGCTAGTAGAATAATTTTACTCCCGTTACTTAAGGTGGATACCATTATTTGGTGATATTAATTAATAATTATATTTTTGTTTCAGATTATAACATCATGGACGGCTGATATAGCATTGAAGTGTTTGTTTCATTTTAGTGCTCGTATAAATAAGTGTTTAAAATACATAATGGAGTTTAAAACTTACATCCTGTTCGCCGCTGTCATTATAGGTTAGTAATTTTTATTTGCATTCCTCGTGCTTAAGTAATATGTAATAAATATTAGTATCAAAAAACTAAAAAAACACGTTTATAACTAATATTTATTTTTAATTTTAATACGATTTATCAATTAGTTTTTCGTGGACATGCGCAGATCGCACACTAGCTCTCTCCCTTTCACTCTCATAGAGGATCTATGAAAAGAATATATTTATTAATCCTGGCGGCCCTAACAAGGTTAATGGGAAATTGTTAACGAATTATTGCATTGTCATTGGTCCTTGAGATATATGCAAAATTTCAAGTTAATCAGATGTTTAGAAATCGGTGAAAATCGTGCCCAAAGATTCCGTTACATACATACATAAGCGTGTTAATAAAAAGAAAAACAAAACATTACAAGAACAGACTTTGAGTTAATAAATAAAAGTTCCATTAGTTTTATAGGAACGGATATATTATATAAAGAATAATCTAATTACATAGTTCGCATCCAAATATTCGCATCAGAATATTACAAAATTCAATCATCTTTTATTACTGTTCGATATAATATAAAAAATAATATAATTAAAACAACCATCACTAAATATGCCGTTAAATTTGGTTTAAATAATAATTTATATTAAAATATGTGAGACCAGTAACACAATTCACGTAAACCGTTAGTTTAGCTTTAAAACAAATCATGGGCAGACAGCACAAAGGTTTTCCAAGACCACAAATCAAGGATATCAAATATTAACGTGGTACTTATAAACCGGCCAGTTACAAGACCAAGAGGTATGGTTACAGTTATTTACGCCAATATACATATAATAAAAGATTGCATAAAGGAAAATTATTATATTTGTCAAATCGATTGAGTTATTAATCACAAGTTTTATTGTTAATTTTTAATCGTAGTTTTAATCAGCAATGTCAACCGACCAGTTATAATTTTATTAACCAAAATGTCATTTCAATTCATCTGTTAATAGGTTTAATTTTATCCCAAGTTAATTATAACGGTTATATGATTTATGTTCTCATTAATAATATTTAATTAAATTGGAAAAACATTAAACATTATACTTAATTATATCATCCGGTTGGAACTTGTCTCTGTGATAAGATGGTATCGTATTTAAAGTGGATTAACATCACAAAAAAACAGTTAACGGCAGTTTAATAAGTTAACCAATTAACAAAATTAATAGTTGAATTCATGGTGTTAAAACGGTAACGAAATTTGAGAATGATGTCAAACGAATTGGCAGTAGGTAAATCATCCGAATTTTATGTTTAATATTACTTAATTATTATTTTGTTTATTTTATCTTTATTATAAGGATTATACTTTTTTCAATATGACTATGACTTCTTTATGTATTCTAATTATTAAAAAAACATGGTTATATTAGTAAAATTTATAACTATCCCAGTATTAAAATGATAATATAATTCTAGATATATCTTAACAAAAAATATTTAAAAGATTTTTGGTTTCAAGTAAACATTATTTCTGTGGAGATTCAAACTCTTTTGCCATCAAAGGTACGTTTTATTTCTTTGTATTTATTATTATGAAAAAATTAATGACTTTATTTGCAATCTCTATAAATATATGTTATGCCTATTTTTTATAGCATTTCTATGATTCTATATTTAAGCGTAACCACGAGTTCAAATTGTAAGAGTATTCCTTAAAATAAACTTATATTTATATTGGTTTTCTACTATAAATATCAATTATTTCATAGGTGTAAAATATTTGATATTCTTTTTCAGACATTGTCTGTTTTTTTGTAGGAATTTTGGTTATCATATTTCTGTTAGTCTATTTGTATGTCATAACGTACACTGTTAATGCCTAGAAGAATTAAGGTTCATGTTAAAAAATCTCAATTTGTTAAGAAGTTTCCGATTTATTAAAAAACCTTTTTGGACACGATACTTAAAGCTTTAAATGTCGTTCAGAAAAATAAATGTATTTGCGAGTTTGCGTCCAAGTGAATTTTAGATTAGTTAGAATGAAAGGAAAGCATTAAATGTACCGTTTGATCCACATTTAAAATCGTGAAGGCCAGGGAACCTGTGATGAGATTTTAAGATTAACCAAAAATTTTTGTCTTTTAACGACTTTAAAGTTTTTAGGACGGCCTGTGATAAATCGAAATCGTGCTCGCTATACTTTCTTAGTATCTGATTTGAAAAAATGTTCCACATTGTATTGTTGAATGTTGTGTTATAATACATATATATGGTAGCATAAATGTGTTGATTATGTTTGTATTTGCAATTGAATATGCAGTATTTTGTTACTTTTTTATGAAACTACAGGACAAGATATTCAAATGTTTTTAATATTTGTCGTATAAAAATTTAGGTTTTGTAAATAGGATTACTAACAAAGTAGAAATGTAGGATTAGTAACATTTGTTTTGTCTTAACACCGATTTGGTCCTATGATAAATAATCTACTTAAAATTTGAATGGCAGATTACAAATTATGAATGTTAACGAAGAAGCAGAGTATAGTGAAAAACTAGCAAAATAGATTATTCAGAAATTGTGTGACAATTTTTGCAATAATCTGAGTTCTAAATTTCATAAAATGTACAGTAAGTATAAGTAAAGTCACATATAAAGTTGTGTCTTAGACTTATATATGTATAAGGAATACTGGAGCGACATTCCTAGGCTAATTACAACTGAGTTGTTGAATGAAAAAACAACTAGTTGGATAAAGCGAGAGTGAACTAAAAGATAGTGAAAACTGTAATTCATTGTTCTGTGTCAATATTTAAATAACTATTATTAGTTAAAGTATAACGTGGTCTGTTCAGTCATACCAAAATTTCGTAAATATGTATTATTATTTAAACCTTTTAATTAAAAATGTTTGATTTATTTAAAATTGTGTACGTTAAAAAAACATAAGTTGAGTTTTCAGACATTGGTACATCTTTTAAATCAGTCTTAGTGGATTTCAAGTCCAGAAAACGTATTATGTTAATCGTCCCTTAGACAAATAAGATACGGAAACAATGTTGGATAAGTTTTAATGTGCGTACTAATTGAAAACTCTTTAAAACATTTGTTTGTAGGATACAAAGCTTATTTGACCTGTAACACAATTATTTTAAATTTATTATCTTTCATAAAAGTATTCTTTAGGTAATATTATGAAAAATATTATACTATCATTGTAGGTTTGACTCGATATCTTAATATGAAACCGGACCATTGAATTAAATTTGTTTCCAAATAAAAATAATGCAACACTTTAAGCAAGTATATAGGTGAAATGAAGGTATGTAATTGTTATGAATGAACAGTTTTATTAATGAAAGAAACTAGTACAAATAAATCATTTTATATACACGAAACGCCTAAATATATAGGTTCAATAAATTCTTAAGTATTGATTTTGTTTCATAAATCAAACTTGAATACAATGCCGCCAGCGTTTTTGCAAACATAAATCTTTCACAAATGATAGCTGTTACCACAAATTTGTCTCAGCTATGAAAAGCACAAAGAGCTTTAGGGTCAAATATTAGAAATTCTATGTACCAATATTAGAAAAGCACTTTCACATAAACTTACTATATATTCAATATATTCCAAGCAAACAGATGCTATTTGCGATTTCTCTTAGCACAATTTACCAACAAAATAAGATAGTCCAAAACAATATAGTTCCCTTTATATCTATGTACTGGACTTTCACTTGTATTCCAATGAAGGGAAAGGCTATATCTGTGTGAAGTGATTCTATTGTTGACTGTTTAAATAAGGTTTACTTTCTCAAAGGCAATTCACATTGCACTTGTGAATTACGTGCATGGGAGCATTGGTTTAAGGTGCAGTCACGTTACGATATCAAATCTATTATTTGGTTAGGAATCAGTTAATCATTCTTGTGAGAATTTCGTTTGTATTATTTATGGATATCATGCATTGAGCTGTTACTGATTATAAATTTTAAGATATAAATTTTATTAAATTTTGCAAATTTTTAAGGGGATTCTAAAGAGTTTTTGGTATTTAGAACTTGATTAAAAATAGTCAAAAATTAAAGTACCAAAGCATTAAAGCTGTTGTATCACAGTGTAGTTATGTTTCTATGTTTTATATTTGTGAAGGATCTTAGTTAATTTAGTAACCTGCGCCTGCAGAATTAGTTTTCATTATATAAGAAGTATTACTATTATATATATATATATATATATATATATATATATATATCTGATAGGTATATAAATCTTCTATCTGAAGTATCACAAAAAAATCACTGTATCAATATTTTACAAAAAAAATACTTTCATCTCGTCTATCCGTGATCAGGGTTGCTGCAAAGTAACCGAAATGTCGGGAGTACATATATAAAGAAACATTAATTTAAACGAATCCTCACGAAAATCTTAGATATAATTTCACATACAATCCTTAATATCTGTCAGAAATTACATACTTATATATTGATATACCTATACACATATTAAAACTTAGTCAATTGTTCTTTTGATTTAATGGTATTGAATATACATTAGGTCTATTCATAACTCCATGTATAATAATAATAATTATTATTATAAATTTTATGACGTTATTACCAGATAATGCAGATAAAGTTAAGAAAAAAGTCACTTTTATTATTGGTAACTATGTACATCCCGGATAAATGTAGTATTTATTTAATCTCTTGACATGTACAAACCTTTCTCCGCCAATTTAAATTTCAAACACACTCAAATAAAAACAGCAATGCATTCCTTTGTTTGTATATCGAGGTAAACGTACCAAAAAAAAAAGATATTGATTCAAAATTACCGGGAAGTGAAAGAATTTATTGTGCACTGTAATGAAACAGCGTCATATATATATGTATATACATATATGATTAATGAATCGGATGAATCTCGCGAACAATTATGTAAATTTTAATCACGATGAAAATTTCAACATCGTAAATGGTTAAATGCGATGAATGATGTACCTTAATTTTACAAATAATATTAGAT